ATGACTGCACAATCCTGGAATTGCCACAGGATAACTTACCGCACCTGTAATCTAGAGCTGTACCAGCCTGATTGGGAGCTTATTGACTGGTTTTTCCTGTCAATGACAAGGTGTAGGATAACCATGCTTGGAGGACAAGGAAGCATTGAGTAGGAGATGGCACCATCCAATAGGTATAGTCACGTATTATCCAACTTGTATGGCAGTTTAAAAGCCATGTGTGATAAAGTCCAGAGTCACCATATCTTGGATGACTTGAAGGCACACAACAGGACAGATGGAGTGAGATTTCTATAGAGATTATATGAACAGCCCTTCACTTGTAAGTCAATTTAATTGGCTGGACTTTGTAACTAAGCACAGAATCCTCTATGGAAGTTGCATCTTTGTAAGTGGACATACATATGTGGGAATTAGAATTAGGCAGTTTTGTAACATCCATATTCAGTAGAGGGATGCTGTTACATTACTAAATATAGTACATTACATTACTACTATGTACCTTCAAGTCACCTGTCAACTTATGGCAGCTTCATGAATTTCGTAGGCTTTGCTTAGGCAAGAAAGAAAGAATACGCAGAAGTGGTTTTGCCAGTTCTTTCCTTTTAAATATAGCCTACAGCATCTTTATTTGTTGGCAGCCTTCCATCCAAGGGCTGACTCTGCTTAGCTTCCAAGATCAGAAGGGATCTAGTGCCTTGAGGTTATTTAAGGCATCTTGTTTTACTTCTACATATTTTCCCCTCCTACTGTTTTTTTTTGGGGGGGGGGAATTCTTTCAGATTCCCCCAGGACTTGTTAGCATCTACATTTTGTTCCTGACTGCTACTGTTTGGACTATATAAAGATTCTCTGTACCGATAATTAGCCTATAAGATTAATCATGCCTAATCTGTAAGGAAGAATCTCTGGGTTTTGGAATTAGTTTTGAAGAGTGGGGGGGAGAAGTAAAAGAAATTAATAAAGTACATGTTTTCTCCTTGGTGGGGACAGTATGAGAGTGCTAGCATGGCATAGTGGTTTGAGCACGGAGCTACAGCTCTGAAGACCAGGGTTCGAATCCCCACGCAACCATGAAAACCCACTGGGGACGCACACTCTGCCCCAGAAAACCCTGTGATAGGTTCACATTAGGGTTGCCAAAGGATGGAAACAACTTGAAGGCACACAACAGCAGCAGAAACAAAGGGATAGCATGTATTAGCCAAACCCAATTCTAGATAAGATTCCCAGCTATGTGAAGTGATAAACCTCATTTGCTGTAGAGAGAACCAAACCATTTCTTGGTAAGATCTGAATATGCAAAAAATACCAATAATGCATTTCTTCAGAAACAGGCATCTGCTCTGGCTCCGCAGGCATATTATGCTCCAAGACATGGACAATCAAGGTTTTAATAGCCACTCTTTTCATCTTCTCTAATACCACACAGACCATTCAATTAGTGTCAATTTTATTTGCGCAATTAATATTATCCTTTGAAGAATGGCTTTGAAAGCTAGTCTGCGGGAAACTAATTAGGTTAGTCTGTTTTGATCAGTGAATGCTGTCGCTATCTTATCTGAGTGTGAAACAAGTTGTCAAGGAAAGTGCATGCCTTGATTGCTCAGAGCATCACAGAGGAGCTGGCAAAATGGCTAAACTCCTGAATGTTCAACTGACATTTTGGGACAGGCATGGAGCCCAGAGACGGAGGGGATGGGGCAGTGGCATCACTAGGGTTGGTGTCTCCCCATTGCTGAAACTCATGCTGTTACCCCCAGGCTCAGAATTGCCAGCTGTTAAGCACCCCTGCATACACCCTACTGCATTTTGGGGTTCTCCTATTGTGAGACCTCATATTTGGAGGCAGCTCCAGGTTCCCAGGAGAAAAAGATAATTTCCACAGAGGCATGTGAACATTTAGGTAAACAAAACCATAATATCTAAAGTGCTTCTTCTTCCCCCTTCATTTCTTCTCGAAACCTGAGACAAAGGATCTCTTTGCACCCAAAGAGATAAGCCGATCTCTTCTCTGGCCACCCACCTCAGGGATATCTCAACCCAATCAAACCATTAACCATTTCGGGATCCCATTGTCGACTCCTGGGGCAATGGGGCAAGTCATTCAGCCCTTGTTTTCTTGTTATTAACTGCCCTCGAGTCAATCTTGATCCATGGCAACCCTGTGGATGAGACATCTCCAAGATTCCCTGTCCTCCGCTGCTCTGCTTAGGTCCTGTAAATTCATACATACTCCTTAATAGAGTCCATCCATCTGGCATGTGGCCTTCCTCTCTTTCTTCTTCCCTCCACCTTTCCTAGCATTATTGTTTTTTTGATTCATGCCTTCTCATGATGTGTCCAAAGTATGACAGCCTAAGTTTTGTCATCGTGGTTTCCAGGGAGATTTCAGGCTTGATTTTCTCTAGGACCATGCTGAGATGATGTAGACTCTTGGCCAGTGAAGGCTAGTAGCTTTCCTGGCAGTGGGGTGGTGATTCTGCTCCAGGTTTTCTTCTGAATTTTAAATTGGCTATCTGAGATGTTGAAATTATTTGGGGGTGCCTTTAACAAGTCTTTAAAGTTCAAACTAAGGAGATTATTGCATTCTTAAACAACTTGCCTTACCTGATCTGGCTTAAAATTAAATTTGGGTGGCGTCCGGACCCTATTGCAAGGGTTCTGCTGCTGAATGTAACCTGGGGCCATCCCCACTCCTAGAGCCGCTAAGCACAGCTCTTTTCGAAGCCAGGGGTTTTCTGGATTGAGAAAATGGCTGCAGAGTGGCTCTAGGAGTGGGGATGGCCCTGGGTTACATTCGGATGGCAATAATCCTACTGTTAGCACTGTTAGAGTCAAGCCATTGAGTTATACCTCCATTTTCCCAAATCATTCAACAATGTGTGTGCTCTAGATGGGACTAATGAATATGATTTAGGGAGACACACACATTTAATATAAAAGAAAGGAAATGAACAGATTCAGAGAATTAGATGCTTGGCTCTTAAATACCAGCATATTTAACCTCATTTGTGACGCCTCATTATAGTATTTATATGGCTAGAATCCTGTTGGCTAGTCCCAGCTTGAACAGAGCCACTGAATCAATTGTTGAATGTCGACATGTGGCAAATCCCATTGATACAAAGCTCTTTTCTAGTCTTAACAATGTGATGTAGGTTTCTATATGCACTACCTGGTACCCAGTGTAGTTTATAGGCTGAGCGTTGGGCCAGATGCTGGGAGACCTGGGTTTGAATCTTTGCTCAGCTATGGAAACCCACTGGATGGCCCTGGGTGACTCACACTCTCTCAGCCTCAAAAAAGGCAATGTCAAACCCTCTCTGAGCAAAGCTTGCCGGCAAAATCTCATGCCTTAGATTTGCCAGACGTCAGAATAACTTGAAGGCACAGCAACAGCAACAATATAATGCCTATATATATTGCACCCAAACAGTCTTTACTAATAGGGTTACCAAACCTCAAGGCCTGGCTCTAGTCTCTGGTTTTCATGGGACATCTCCAGTTGGAAATAAGGGTGCAACTTCTACAGAGTGTTTTTTGGGGGGGAGGGGGACTCAGTTCTGAACAAAAAGAAAGGGTTGTGTGCAAATCTCCAGCTCAGCTAGGAGAGCACCAGCTTGTTATAATTTGTAAGGCTCAACCAATTTGTTGCAGTGACTTGCAAAGGCTCTTCCTGGGGTTCTGTCTATTTACTTAGCTAGCTTCCTCTTTTCCCCTCCCAGTTGTTGTAGCATCAAGGCTCACCCTCTACTCTTTCTTTCCCAGTTGTAGTAGTGCCAGGGCTCACCCTCCACTCTGCTCTACATCCACCTCTGGTTAGAAACAAGTAGGCTAAAGTAAATGTTCCTTATCCCATCTCCCCAAGTATGTGAGAAGGAATAATCCTTCATTTTACCCTGATCTGAGAGTAGCCCCTTCAGCTAAGAATTCTGCCTTAACCTCCCAACAGGAGAATATTTTCTTTTTATATTGGTGTTTGTTTGAATGACAAACTATGAGCAGCTGCTCTTGGTACTTAATGCATAACACTTAATGACATCACCAGGGGCTGTCCCTAGGTCCTGGGTTTTGGTCTGGAAACCTCAGGTCCTGGGAAGATCCTGAACTGGCATAAATATTTATGAAATAATGTTTGTGTGCAGTTTTTTCCAAATGTATATTTTGGCTGCTTGTTGTTGTTGTTGTTGTTGTTTTAAAGTGAGCATTCTCAGAGGTGCACTTTATTTCTTGCAAATGCCCTGCAAGGCTTGAAAATGTGTGAACGCTCAAGGCAAAGTGAGCATTTTCTTGCAACACGAAATCTTAAGAAGTGTGAAAAATGCTACTTTTGTTGAGACTATCAAGTCCCAACAAATTGTTGGCATAGCTCCCACTTTGCATGCACAAGGTCCCAGTTAACTCTTCCTTTGAATACTCAGGCAGGGTTGGAAAAGACCCTTGTCTGAAGAATCCTTGACAATCAGTGTATCTGAAACTGAGCAAAACAGATAAATGGTCTTTCTTAGTCAAAGCCAGCCTCCTAAGGACAATCTTCCTGAGTGAATTGCAAGCACTATCTTTAATTTGGCAGCTAATTAGCTCCGAAATGGATGAAATGGAATTATCCCCTGGCTGTGGATGATAACGCTTCTCTCTACTCTTCTCAGCCAAGTGTTTGCACTGCCTCAAATTGATAATTCACATTGTGGATCTATGTTATAATTTAAATCCCATTCCCAGCTCCATCAAGATGCAAGGAATAGGAGGTGGTCCACCTCCTAGTGGCCAACAATAGAGCTGCAGGCTCTGGAGCATCCCAGGTCCTGAAATTTAGGGGGTTTAAACCCAACATTTAGAAATGCTCTTGTTGAAATCACAGGGGACAGGCCCTAGTGGTGCCATTATGCACAATGCATTAAGCATCAAGCAAAGTAGATCACAGCTTGTCATTCAAATAATAAAAACTATTGGGTGGTATCCTGTTCATGATTTATAATGGCACAAGCCCAGTTTGAGCCAGTGTGGTGTACTGGTTTGAGAGGTGGACTATGACTCTGGAGATCCTGGGTTCGATTCCCAGCTTGGCCATAAAACTGACTGGGTGACCTTAAGCAAGTCATACTCTCTCAGTCTCAGGGGAAGGCAATGGCAAACCTCCTCTGAACAAATCTTGGCAAGAAAACCCCATCATAGGTTTGCCTTAGGGTCACCAAAAGTTGGAAACAACTTGAAGGCACACAACAACAAGCCCAGTTTATGGCGTTGCAACTCACTTTGTTGGCCATTGTGTAAATCGGAATTCTCTTCTGACCCTGAAAGGACAGAAAGCCCCATCAAGCCACTTTATAATCAGTGCAGCCTCCCTAACACAGCCATTTCCAAGATTTCAGAGAGTGGTAGGTGGATATCAGCAGTGATGTGTCAAGGTGTTTGTGAATGCACTGCATGGATGTCATCTGCAGGAATGTCCCAAAATCACTGCAGGTGTTTGTCAAGTGCATTCAGCTAAAGAGAAATAGTTGGACTCATTGCTGCTGATCCTCTCCCTTTTTGACAACCCAGAAATGTCTATGTTTGGGTGGATGTGGGCTGAGCAGTTTACAGGGAGGTTTGGGGAGACCAGAGGATCAGGAAGAGTTTGGGGAGAACAAAGGGAGATCAGGGGAGGGAACTGGCAACTACTTCTTTGAGTATTCCTTGTCTAAGAAAACCCTATGAAATTCATGGGATTGCCATAAGCTTTCCGAAGCAGAGTAGAGTAAATTGGGGTTGTTGGAGGATATGCTATCTAGGACACTCTGGGAGTTGTAGTTCAAAAAAGAGCTTTTATAGGTATCACACCAAAGGAAAGTCAGGGGTCTACCTACTAACCCATATGCTCAAACTGTATTGATTTGGCAGGAATAGTCTGATTAATCCACTGTCCTCCCACTTTTTCAGCTGCTTTTAAAATGTTCCAGTTTCTCTCTTTTCTTCCCACTTTTCCTCTTTGTCTTTTGCTTACTTCAGTTGCTGCAACCTGAGTTCAAAATGCAGAAGTGCTGTGCACTCCCTTAACTCCTTGGGAAGGAGAGAGGAGAGGACAGAATCTTGCCCTTCCCAGTAGACCCAGGCAAAAGCAAAGTGCTGCGTTCTTCCTTATTAATAATAGCTTTTGCCATCTTGTACCCTCTGATGTTGCTTGGATATATGTCTCCCACTTTTCATCTGTGAAATGTTGGGCAGTATGCTAATCTGACAGTAAACTCACTGAAGCAATGGGATTCACAAAGTGTTCATGTCTACTGTTTAGCAATTGATTCAGTAAGTCCACTGTGGCATAGTGGTTTGAGCATT